GGACAGGCCATTCGGCCACTATTTCTGTGCTGACTATTTCTGTAAACTAATCGCATCTGCCTGCATGAGATCCCTCTAGTCCCTGTTAGATAATCGGTGAGCTGGTGTGGAGGACATTAGTCTAAGGCTTAGTAGGTGGAAGAAGGGGTTGAGTTTACACTAAGTTAGCTGAGGGGTTATGAGGGGTGATGGGGATGAGGGTGTTATAGATTGATGTGGAAGGTGTGAGGGGCCTTGGGAACAGGGAGGGGAGCACGGGTAGGCATGGAGGTTCATCAGGATTCGGTGTGGAAGAGTGCACATGCTGGCATGGATGAGGCATGTGGAATGGAGCCATATAGGGGGATGGGTATCACAGCTAACTGCTTTGTTGACCATGAGTTTGGTGTCAGGTTTGGGGTCCTGGTCTTCAATCATTCTCTTCTTCAGCTCACCAAATGTTGCACTGACAAACTAATGGCAGTAGTGAATCTTACTGATATCTACCCAAGTGATCTACATTGAACAAGGTGTCATCATTCATATTTGGATTTTGATAACTGTGTTGGGGGCAAAGATACAGTGCAGCGTGGCAGAAGCAGATTATTAAAGGACCTTGGCCTTTTGAAAATTTAGTGCATGGTGTAGATGTTGACAATGGCATGGGATTGAGCCTCTAAGTGATTGCAGACTCAAATGTCTTCTGCACACTGTACCTCGATCTCAAAAATGAGACAATCCTGGAACAGGCCTCTTGATTGAACAGCTTCTTGTTTGTTTTGTACATTAGCTCCACTTTAGTTGGGGAGCTTGCTCAGATTGAGGTGGATTATGGCAGCAAGGAAGATTGAGAAGAGTTGGTGGTGTGATGGCCCTGCCTGGCTTGACCCTGATATCAATATATGTTGTGTCTGTGGTGGACCCATGGATCACATCTTGCGTGTTATCATGGAGGAAAATGGTGACAAACTTACAGAGCAGCTGAAGTAAAGGAGGATGCTCCACAGTGTTGAAGGCCTTCGTAAGGACAAAGTGATGCACAAGGGTTGGTGCTGTTCCATGCATTTCTCTTGTAGTCTCTATGCCATGAAGATTATGCCCATGGACGGCAAAATCCAGACTGTGTCTGGTAGATGCTCTTTAGCTCCAGAGAGAAGATGATTGTGGACAATTCTTATGAAAACTTTCCCTGTGGGCAACAGCTTACTGCAGTCAGACCTGTCACTTTTCTTGAAGATGGTCAGAATTACACCCTCTCTGATATCTGGAAAACTCTCCCCCTCTTCCAGATAAGGGAACTGAGATCGTACGTTTGAGTTAATGGAGCTTTCACACCTTTTTTTTTGCTTTGGTGAGGATTTCACCTGCCCCTGATGCTTTGCTCTTCTTTAACTGTCGAATGCCCTTTTCCAATACATGCTGTGTTGGGGTTGTGCTAAGATGGTAGCAGTAAGTAAGCTGTGGGATGGAGTTGAGGACACTAGTGTTGAAGACAAAATCTCTGTTAAGAGGATTTTCCAAAAGGCACCATCTGCCTCTCTCTTCTTGATGAGCACTTCCCTATCTTGGCCAGCAGTGGACTGGGGCCTTATGGAACTATTGGTAATCTTGACCACGCTAAAGAAATCACGTACATGATGGTTATCAGCTAACTGCTGGACCTCTTGTTCTTTGTGCACCCACCATCTGTTCTTTAGGTGGACCTCAGCCTTCAGCTGCCTATGCAGCTGATTTCTAGATTTCAACTTGACTTGCTGTTTCAGGTTTAGAAATGCCTTGCCCTCATGGGTTATCAGCTCCTGGTCATTCTGATCAAACTAGTCCTGGTGTTTCCTGCTCAAAAGACTGAGCCTCTCTTTGCAGGTGCTGATCGGGGAGGTCCTGAGGGCAAACCAAGCGTTATGGACACTTTGTGTCTCTGCATCATGGGGAGTCATCGAGTCAGCAGAGAGGTGCTGGCTGAAAGGCCTCAGCATTGATTTTCCTGTGGCATAGTTTCTGTTATGTTGCTGCTTTGGGTCAACATTGATGTTGTTGACACAGCAAATTAAGCAGTGGTCCATCCTGCTCGTCTTTGACAGAATTAGATGGGGATTATGATAAGGCTGTATTGTAAGAATGGATATTTGATGACGGGTGTGGACACAATGGAGCAAAGGTCCTCTTTCTGTCCTGTAGAAATTCTGACTCTATGTTATAAGGTTATTGCTGGAGTAAAAGGGATGAATCTTTCTTGCTGATGTTTGTAATATGACCTTATAAACAGTTCTTGTGTATAGTAATTTCATATATTGTAATATAGTTTGTGTATTAAACTTTTGTTTAAAGCACGTTGGCAGCCTCGTTTGAATATATTCCATAACTGACCTCCACAATATAAAAAAAAATCATGATTTAGGTTTGTCCAGTATTACCATCAGCTGGAATCATAAGACAATGCCAATAATTTGCTCCATAGTCTGTATCATGACTCTCAGACCCGACAGGTCCATGGGTAATTGGCACGTTATAATAAAACGTTATTATACATCTTTGGCATGTACTTTCGGTTGTTGTAGGTCATCAGGATTTTTACTGAATAAAAGAATTTCTGTTCACAAAGGCTCCAAGTTCACTGGTGCTTTGATGGCCACTGAGGGGCATTTGATTACGCCTGACACATTGGAAAGCCCTTGTCAATATATCTGGCACTAACAGCTCTGGCCTTTTGAATGGCCTTTCAGCTTTGTGAATTCACTGGCCTCGCCTTCCCTTTTGGTGAAAGTTTCTATTCCACAACGGCTGGAAGTTCCCTCGCAATTCAAGACTTTGCTTTGATACCACATCCTTTAGTAACACATCCTTTGAATTGTCAATGGTCTGACAACATATAATCCTCATGCATTGAAATTTAATTTGAAACACAGCATTTAATTCCAATCAAACACATGCACACACAATTACCTTTTAAACACGCCAGTCGCCTTCCTGCCTTTGCAATGCAGCATTGCCACCTCACTTCCTTCCCAGTACCAGCATGATTCAGTCCAAAGTTCCCAGTGTCTCCTGTCGGCTTCTATCGCCTCTCACCACCCTGTCCTCTGCTCCATTAAGAATGAAAAACAAAACAGTTCTGAAGAAGAAGAAGCAAATTATGTTAGAAGACAAGAACAGAAAGATAGCTATTGGAAGAACACCACAGGAATTTAAAAAAACGGAAGAAAGGTTTGCATTAATGTAATGTTTCGTAATGTAATGTGATGTAATGTTTCTCATACATCAGCAAACAAAGTACAGTCATAACAACAAACATAGGTCAGACCTTGAGCCTGTTCCAAGGGGAGTTTGCAACTGATACTCCATATACCTCTGTGTGTCCCAATCCCATAATAACTTTGGTTCACAAAATTTGATGAGTCTCAAATTATAATTATCAATTGATCCAGTGTCAATGGTCATTTGCAGAAGCTACCAAACTTCTCCCAACAAAGTGTAGCTTTGCTTCTTCATTTCACTCCTTGAAAGATCTGGCTTTAATGTTTAGACCATGCCTTATGGTCCTTAAATCACCAAACAACAGAAATAGTTTCACTATCAATATTACCTATTTCCTTTAACATCTTTAAAATGTCAATAAAATCAGCCTTTGATCTTCTCAGCATTATGCAACACAGTCCTAGTGCACATAATCTCTTCTCATAATTTAATTCTTGAGGTTCAGCCATCATTCTGCATTGCATATGCATTGGTGGTGGTTCAGAAGAAGTTCACTAGATTTAGGTTGGCCAGGCTAGATTTGTTTCCACTGGAATTGAGAAGAGTGAGGAATGTCTTGGTTTAAGTATATAAGACTGTTCTTGACAAGGTGGACATAGCATTAGTATTTCCTCTGGTTAAGTCCAGATCTGTTGGACACTTAAAAAACTCTACAGTGTGGAAACAGGCCATTCGACCCAACAAGTCTACATTCACCCTCCAAACAGTATCCCACCCAAACCATTCTCCCTATTCTATCCCTGTAGCTGTAACACTGCATTTGCCATGGCCAACGCACCTAACCCATACATCCTGAACACTATGGGTAATTTAGCATGGCCAATCCATCCATCTTGCACATCTTTGGACTGTTGGAGGAAACTGGAGCACCTGACAGAAACCCATGCAGACATGGGGAGAACGTGCAAACTCGACACAATCAGTCACCCGAGGGTGGAATCCAACCCTAGTTCCTGGTGCTGTGAGGCAGCAGTGCTACCCATTAAGCCACTGTGCCGCCTGGCAAATTAATGGTCACCCTTTCAAGGCAGAGAGGAGGAGAATTCATTTTCTTCTGACGGTTGTATGTCTTTGGAATTCTCTGCCTCAGAAAATGGTGGATGAAAAAGTAGGAATTCAAAACACAAACAGATCAGCCTTGAGCTGAGAGCAGGCTGGAGGGACCAAATGGCCTACTTCTGCTCCAAAATGATATATTTGAATTCTCGCAAATTATGGTGAACTTGCTCCAAGGCCATAATATTGTTTCTAATGCTCACAGTCCTTCAGGTGAGGTCTTGAGCAGCCAATGCATGACTTGTATTCTGTTGTATTCTAGATCTGTAGTTATAAAGGCAAATATTTTATGAGCCTTTTTGATATTATTTTACTGTATTGGTTCACAGCATTTGAATGCTGTATATTCCCGGGTCCCCGAGGCTCTTTGGGCCTTCACATTCTAACATTTCAACCTTTAGAAAGTATATTCTTTAGGTCTATAGTAAACAACCCTCATATCTGGGCCTTTGCCCTCCAGGGTTTAGAAGAGTAAAAGATGATCTAATTCAATCAACAGAATTCTTACAGAGCAAGCATAGGAAGGATATTTCCCCTGGCAGGGGAATCTAAACTTAGGGAATACAGTTCCAAAGTAAGGAATAAGTCATTAGAGCTGAAATAAGGAGGCACTTCTTCACTCAGAGGATGGTGATTTTGTTTGTGATTCTCTGCCCCAGAAAGGGCCAATGTCAGCACAGCTGGCTAGGGATCGACGTTCTCTGGGCTCCATTGGTCAGTCCTGATCGGTGTTGTCTGGGCTCCATTGGTGGGGGTGGATCGGTGTTGTCTGGGCTCCGTTGGTTGGGTCTGTTTCCATGGCGTCGGTGAGGGTTGAGGATGAAGGGGACACTGCGGGTCCGGCTGTGGCCGGAGGAGAGTCCGAGGCTGAGGCCGGGAGTTCGGGAGAGGCCTATCCGGAGTTTGATAGGAAATGCATCTTTTGTAGAATCGGGAACAGAGAGGAGTCGGTGGATCTGCTGCATTGGGTGAGGAGGCGGAAGTGTTTGAAACATTTATTTCCGGTGACTGTTAAACTTTTGTGAAAAACAAAATTTGTTTGTGGATTAGACAGTGGCATGGCCCTGACAACATTTCGGCAGTTTTACTGAAGACTTGTGCTTCAGAGCTTGCCGCTCCCCTGGTCAAGCTGTTCGAGTACAGTTACAACACCTATCAATGTGGAAAATTGTCCAGTTATGTCCTTTACATAAAACGCAGGACAAATCCTATCCGGCCACTCACCGCCCCATCAGTCTACACTCAATCAACAGTAAAGTGATGGAAGGTGTCATCAACAGTGCTATCACGCAGCTCCTGCTCAGTGACCCCGCCCCAGTTTGGGTTCCGCCAGGGCCACTCAGCTCCTGATCTCATTACAGCCTTGGTTCAAACAAAAAGAGCTGAATTCTGGAGGTGAGGTGAGAGTGACAGCCCTGGACATCATTTGACTTAATGTGGCATCAAGGAACCTTAGCAAAACTGGAATCACTAGGAATCAGGGTGCAAATTTTCTGCTGGTTGGACTCATACCTGACATATAGGAAGATGGTTGTGGCTGTTGAAGATCAGTCATCGCAGTTCCAGAACATCACTGCAGGTGTTCATTAGGGTGATTGTACAATGTTTAGTACCATTTGAGATTCATAAGATTCTGCATCAGTCCAAGTTCAAATGTACCTGGACATTGTCTAGGTTTGCACTGACAAGTGGCAAGTAATATATGTAACAAGTTGCCTTCAAGCTGCGTTTTGGAACCACTGCAGTCCATTTGGGTGTAAGTAGATCCACAATTCTGTTAGGAAGGTAGTTCTAGGATTTTGTCCTAGCAACATTGAAGGAACAGTGATATATTTGCCTGGGTGAGGCAATGACCGAGTGGTATTAACGCTAGACTGTAAATCCAGAAACTGAGTTATTGTTCTGGGGACGCAAGTTCAAATCCTGCCATGAAATCAGTGCTGATTGTCAGGAAAAAACCCATCTGATTCACTTAGGGAATGAAATCTGCCATCCTTACCTAGTCTGGCCTACATGTGACTCCAGACCCACAGCAATATGGTGGACTCTTAACTGCTCTATAGGCAGTTAGAGATGGGTAATAAATGCTGGCCTAGCTAGAGCTGCCCACATCCTGTGAATGAATAAAAAAAAATTAAAGTCACGTTCGTGGCTTAGAAGTGATGTTAATTTGCAGGTACTGGTGTTCCCATGTATTTGGTACATCTTGTATATGGTATACACTGCTGCTATTGTGCCTCAGTGAAAGGATTGAATATTGAAGGTAGTTGATGGGGTGACAATCACATGGACTGCTTTGTCCTGATGCTGTCAGGCTTCTGGAGTTTTGAAGCTGCATCCATCCATATAGTCGGGAGCATTCAATCACACCAGATGGTGGTCAAGTTTAGGGAGTTAGCAAGCAAGTTTCTCACTGCAGGATCCCTAGCCTCTGACCTGCTGTTGTCGCCACAACAACTATATAGCTGGACAACTTCAGTTTCTGGTCAATGGCAAACCAGAACATGTTAGTAATCAAGGATTCAGCAATGGTAGTACAAACTGAATGTGAAGGGATGATGATTAGATTCTCTCTTGTTGGAGATAGTCAATGACTGGCATTTGTGTGGCCTGTTGTCTTACTGTATGTTAACACTTACTCTTCCCTGTCTGAGGAGTCACAAATGGTGCTGAATGGCACTTTTGTAATCATCAACAATCCTTCCAACTTCTGACCTTGTGATGAAGGGAAAATGGACGTGGGAGACAACGCTGAGGAACTCCTGCAGTGATGTTTCAGAACTGAGGTTAATGACCGCCAATAACCACAACTTTCCTTTATACTAGCAATAACTCCAATCAGTGGAAAGTTTTTCCTGCTTCCCACTGACTCCAGTTGGGCTAGGGCTCCTTGTTGCCCCACTTGGTCAAATGCTGCTGTGATGTTAAGGGCAACCACTTCTACCTCACCTCTGGAGTTCACATCTTTTGCACATGTTTGGCCCAAAGCTGTAAAGAAGTCAGGAGCTGAGTGGTGCTGAAGCTAAAGCTGAGAATCAGCCGATTATTGTTTAGTGCTGCTTGATAGCACAGTGGATGACCCTTTCATCATTTTGCTGATGACCAAGACTTGACTGATGGGGTGGTAATTGGCTGGTTGAATTTGTCCTCCTTTGTGTGGACAACCATATCACATAATTAGTGTCAGAATTGCAGTATTGTTATGGCACTGAAGGAGACTATTCACATCATTGTGACTGCACCATTTTAGTTTAGTGCCAATTTTTGTTCCCCACCTAATCCTTCACATGTCTTTGTGTTAAAATAATCATCCCTTCTAAGTGTCACAATTGAATCTGCCCTCACATCTAGGCAGTGCATTCCAGACCTTGATGGTTTTTTCCTGGGAGAGAAGTGCTTTCTCATCTTGCATTTACTTCTTTCACAAAAACACTAAATCTGATCCTCTTATGAGCGAGAATAGTTTCTCCAACATTATTAGCAATTAATCTGATAAAACTTTCAACTAAAAAGAATTTACAATTACATTTAGAATATTTACAAATCATCAGGCAACATTTTACATTGTGTGGAAGCCACACTTTCAAAACATTAAGCTTTGACAGGGAAGATGCCCAAGTTGAAGGGGAAGCCAAGGAGGGAACAAAAGCAGTCAAAGCTATATTATATAGAGGATTTTGAAATTGAAGAGGGTTGGGGTCGGGGTGTGTAGGGTCCAAAAGAACAGCTGCTAATGATGGAAGTGAAAGAACAGACCTATGATGCTGCTTGGCCTGCTGTGTTCATCCAGCCCTGCACCTTGTTGTCAAGGAAATAGCTCATATGAGGGTGCATTGGTGGTGTAGATTCGAAAAGTGAGGCTCAAATGGAGAGATTTAACACTCCGTTTACACTCAGTGCAGCATCTTTAGGAAGCAAATTAGCTTTTCAGCAATGCTAAAGTTATAGTAGAATCAGGGTCCAACCTGACACTGGAATAAAGTGGAATGAGGGAGTTTGAAGGAAAGATTTTTATTCTGCCTCACCAAGATTTCAGTTAATGCTTTGTTTACACTACATGACTTTGACATGAGTGCAAGGTTGAAGTCCTAACCACTAAATATTTTGAGGTGAAAATTCACTTTTATGCATGAGTGAGTACAAATTTCTCAGTTTGCTAGATCCAGGGAATTCGGCAAGTGCAGGAATTTAAGTCTGGAGAAGACCAAGTTAGAAGTTGAGAATTCTGTGAACTTGATAATTCCAGTAAATCATTTCCTGACTTTCCAATGCTAGAGCACCATCTACAAAATACAACAGGAGTGTGATTTAATAATTTCCACTCAACTAGATGAGTTCAGCTCCAACCACACTCAGGAAGCTTGACATCATCCAGGACAGAACATGATTGGCACCCTATCTACAACTTTAAATATTCGCTTCCTATAATGCCAGTGCCCGATGACCACTACATTATAGCAGCTTGCCAAGAAACCTTTGAAAACACCTTCCAAACCTGCAACCTCTATCGCCAAGAGGAACAAGAGCGTGAGATACTACCAACTGCAAATTATCTTCCAAAGAGCACACACTCTTGACTTGAAACTGTATTCTTTATATTTGCTGGACCAAAATCCAAGAATCCCCTCCCTCTGTCATGTGGTTGCAGCAGTTCAGAAAGGTACCTCTCTACCACTTTAAGGACAATTAGGGGTGGACATTAATAATTGGCCTTGCCACTGACATCTACATCCCATGAATGAATAAAAGTAAATATATGCTATGATGCCAGACCTAACTGCTTCCAGCACTTTTAGTTCTGAATTCAGATCTTCAATGTATGGAGAGTTTTGCTTTTATATTTTTAACCTGCTGTATTAAATAGATATACAGCTGAGAAATTAAATATAATTATGAAAATGGCTGTCCACAGACAGATTCCTGGTCTAATCAGTATTTTGAGCAAAAGACTACATTTTTATCTCTTAATTGTCATAACATTATTAAGTAAGTCATCAGAGATATTAAAATGCTGAATTGTTTTTGTGTAGGATGACCAGTTTGCTTGCTTTAGGGACATTCGACCTGGTGCGCCCCATCATTATCTCGTTGTACCAAGAAAACACATTGCAAATTGCAAATCTCTGAAGAAGGAGCATATATCAGTAGGTGAGATTGCATTCACTTTGTTGTTCAGATCATATTACAACACTTACTTCATTATCTTTCAATTGAACTGTGCTTGTAAAGGCTTTACAAATATATTTCATTAAGCTTTAAAAATACAACTCTTTGGATGAGTTTTGATAGACCAAAGACCAAGTTTAAATGCATTAGATACACTAAGTCGTAATTATAAATGTTTCATTTGGTGGAATGATTGCCTTGTGGTCACATCTTTAAGTTGTGTATATATTTTAAAAATTTCCAAGTCAAGATGGTGAGTGGCTCGGAGGGCAAATTGCACTTGGTGGTGTTCCCATGTATCTGCTGCCTTTGTCCTTCTAAATGGAAATGGTAGTGGGTTTGGTGGTGGAAGGTGTTGTCGAAGGATCTTTGGTGAATTTCTGCAGTGTATCTTGTAGATAGTACACACTGCTGCTACGGAGCATTGGCAATGGAGGAAGTGGCTGCTTGTGGATAGAGTGCCAATCAAGTGGGCTGCTTTGTCTGGGATGGTGGCAAGCTTCTTAATTATTGTTGGAGCAGCACCCATCCAGGCAAGTGGGGAGTATTCCATTACACTCCTGACCTGCGCCGTGTAGGTGGTGGACAGGCTTTAGGGAGTCAGGAGGTAAGTTACTGACCACAGTGTTCCTAGCCCCTGACATACTCTTACAGCCATTGTGTTTATGTGGTGAGTCAAGTTGAGTTTCTGGTCAATGGTAACCTTAAGGATGTTGATAGTGGGGGATTCAGTAATGGTAATGCTAATGCATGTCAAGGGGCAGTGGTTAGATTGTCTCTTATTGGAAATAGTCATTGTGAATGTTACTTACCATTTGTTAGCCCAAGTCTGGACATTGTCCAGATCTTGTTGCGTTTGAACATCGTAGAATCATAATCCCTACGGTGTGGAAGCAGGCCATTCGGCTCAACAAGTCCACACCAACTCTCCGAAGCGCATCCCACCCACACCCATCCCCATACTCTTTCCCTGTAATTTTCACACCCCTGAACACTATGGGCAATTTAACATGGCCAATCCACCTAACCTGTACATCTTTGGACTGTGGGAGGAAACCGGAGTGTCTGGCAGAAACCCACGCAGACAGTCACTCAAGGGTGAAATTGAACCTGAGTCCCTGGCCTTGTGAGGCAGCAGTGCTAACCACTGTGCTGCCCAATCTATATACAACATTGGGGAGAGGGGGACTGGAGGTATCCCTGACCCGGCCCTGGCCTCCTTCATGGCTTGTCATGTGAGGAGTGGTTGCTTCAGTATCTGAGGAGTTACAAATGGTACTGAACATTGTGCAATCAACTGTGAACATCTCCATTTCTGACCTTATGATGGAAGGAAGGTCATTGTTGAAACAGCTAAAGATGGTTGGGCCTAGGATACCACTCTGAGGAACTCTTGCAGAGATATCCTGGAGCTGAGACGACTGACTTCCAACAATCTCAACCATTTTCCAATGTGTCAGGTATGAGATCATCCAGTGGAGAGTTTGCCCCCGATACTCATTGATTCCAGTTTTGCTTGGGTTCCTTGATGCCACACTGAGTTGCATGCGGCCTTGATGTCAAGGGCTATCATTGTCATCTCACCTCTGGAATTAAGCTGTTTTGTTCCTGTTTGAACCAAGGCTGTAATGATGTCAGGAGCTGAATGGTCCTGGCAGAACCCAAACATAGCCTGGCTGAGTAGGTGCTGCTTGATAGCACTGTTGGTGTCATCTTTCATCACTTTACTGATGCTCAAGAGTAGACTGATGGGGTGGCAGTTGGCTGGGTTCGATTTGTCCTGCTTTTTGTGCACAGGACATACCTGTACAATTTTCCACATTCTTATTTAAAATACAAAACAGACTTGTGTATTCCTTTGAATGCAATGTTAATTTTCTCCTGGTTGGTTTTGTAATGTTTTGCTGCTGTGACTGGTGTACGCTCTGTGCTACAAATTAAGAGGAAAAGATGATTAGTGCTTTGTCAGTTTAACCCATGAGCTAATGTTGCCAATACTAGGTACTGCCTTTACTTGTGAGCCACTTAATTTTACCAGAGTCCTGTTAGTAGGAATGAGATATGGTAAGGTGCCTTATTGACCTACTACCTGCATGTGCTCAGAAAGCAATTGAACAGCTGGCTGTTAAAATGGGGGAGGACTATATTCTAAATTATAAAATCTGAATTGTAGTTTTACATTATTTGTTTTTATTCTACGTGCTGCTTCTAGTGTATATGATTTATGGTTATGTCATGCTCCAATTAATTGCAAAATTATATTTTAATGAAAAGTTCAAAAGATGGTGAACATCGGAAAAAATGCACTTCAACAAAATGGTATTGATGATCTGGCAGATGTAAGGTATGTACAGTACTGCAAAAATAAAAGGATGCTTGACAACAGAATATGATTCTGAAGAAGTTATGTTATGGCATTTATTTGATATCTACCTATGGCCTTTTTAAGTAATCTTCTAAAAAGGCATGCACAAAGCTCAAACCAATTAAAAATAATAAACTATGATTTAGTGAACATTTAAGTGAATTGTGTGAAGCAACATTCTGTGAAATCTGTTGGTAGCTCACCTTGTAGCTGAGCAAATTACATTGCCAGAGGAAGCTAGCACTCAGTTACTGTGAGGGCTGTTATCTAAGTACAAGCTAGATGCAGGCATATGCTGTGACATTGTAATCTACTGAATTCCTCTAACTAAATGTTCTAAAAGGAACTGCAAATGTTAATATCAAAATGGTATTAAAATTACACCCAGCAGAGTAACATCTCTTCACTTTTAATTTTACTGTGAACATTTTGATGTTTCCTATAATTTTGGTTGAATTATTTTCACAAGTTTAGTACTTAAATTACACTGAAGGTACTTTCTTTTATAGTGAATAACCTTCATATTTTTGTATGAACTTAATTGTCTTAGTTCAGTTTTGTTTTGAAGCTTTATGCTGTGATTTTTGTACTATCCCAGAGTGTCATCAAAATAGTTACCAAAGTATTGGACTTGTTTACAGGCTGGGCTTTCACTTGCCCCCATTCTGTACAATAACTCATTTGCACTTGCATGTAATGGCTCCAGCCAGTCAGATGGGATTTATATCGAGAATGATTTACCGAGTTAATTCCTACTGGTTTATTACAGTAAGTATATTGTTTCTATTAATCAATTGTATGATAGGTGAAAATGTAAGCCAATTTGCACTGGTCTTGCATGATTTTGTTGAAATATGCACTTTCTAATGTTAATGAACAATCAGTTTCAATCTTTGGCCTGTCTGTAATGGCATTGGAGGAATAGTTCTTGTTTTCAGAAGCTAAGGCATGGGATGAAAGCAAGGTTATGGAGGACACACAAAAAAGACTAATTGAGACCACAATCGGATCAGCCATGATCTTTTGATTGGTGGAACAGGATAGCAAGCCTCAATGGCCATCTCCTAATTTCCAGATAGACTTTCGTTCTCAATTATTATTGCATGATATCTTCTGTCGGTACTGAGAAAGGCTGTTAATCAAAATTTATTGTATTTTATTTTTATATTTTGAAGTTAAATGGTTCTATACTTTTGAGAAGCCACCTGGCTTTTATCTTCTAGAAAATTGCCAAAAGAAACAGAACAATGAGTTGTTTTATGCTGCATATTTTGGAAACTGAATTGAAATTGCCCAAATACATTTTGCATGGAATCCATATAGGCAGTAGGGAGACGAAACTATCATGTGATCAATGTCAGCTACGTTTTAAGATTATCCTCTGAAAGATTCAACAAAGATCACACTGCTTCACTCAATCTCAATTATAGATTGTGCTTTGCACACATTTAACCTGACTTACCACACTATAGGATTTTTTTTCTCTACTTAAAGGTGGACCAGTTGATTGAAAATCTAAAATCTCTTCCGGATGAGTGAATGATGGAAGATGCTACATCCGTGCAGTTAAGTACTACTGCAGATACTTCCAGAAAACATCAAGACTGAAGTTGCTCTTTGACCTGGATTTAATCAACAAGAACTAATTTGTTCCCATCAGAATTGAACAAGAAATCCATTTGGTGGGTTTCTGTTTTTTTCAAATTCATAACTTTTCATTCAGGAAGTAAGGATCTACACCTGTTCTATAAACTGTTTAACAAAGACTACGAAATTTACATGTGTGTAAGTCAAAGATAACGGTTTGTTAAACTTGCCAGCATGCAATTAGTGGCACACAATTGGTAAGGTTAGCTGGATATAAAATTGGAAAGACTGAAGAACTTTAATTACATAATATTCTTATGTACGTTTTGTCTGAAATACCATTTGAAATATTTAATTACATCAACATTAAAGTAAAACATCTTACTATGTGTGTAAATATGCTCCATGTGCAATAAAATATCTTGTATCTGGAAGGTTATTTGTACACGACTACGTAATATTTACTCATGCATTAGTATAGATTAGGATTTTCGGATATTGTAACAAATTGATGTTCTTAATTTATGGAACGAATACGAGGACACGAAATAACTTTTGAATGTAATTCAGAAAATGTATAATGTGTTCTTACAGATGGACCATAAAAATGAGTCACTATTGTGCCATCATCTTGTATTGAATTGCTTGTTCTAACATAACGGCTGTTATAGATTCCATTAACTTGAATATTAATCAAAATAGAATCATTATACAATTAATATCCAAGAGAATAATCCAAGCCATTGCTTATAAGTGCATAACAGTTTGAATTAAATGTGTTCTCTGTGCCATGCCCACCTGATGCTCTTATAATGCAGCACTCTCTGACTTAGTATACTGCATTTTCTGAAGTGTGTTAACACTGAAATCTAATTTACAGCTCAGGACTATGAGATGTTGGCACCTCTGACATGCTGGAAATTCCATTTTGTGTTTTATCCTTAATGTCTTAAACACTGGCAACCAACAACTCTTAGAGAGTCAGCGTGTTGGCAGTGGGTGTCTGTGGATAGTGAAAGATAGGAGGCCAGCCTGGGCAACATTGGCATTTTTTAGACAGTATAACATAAAAGCAGTGTGCAAATAAAACATTGAGGTGCAACCTGAAAACTGAAATATGTTTTCACGAGGTACATTTTTGCCATTTATAGGTTGCCCTTTAAGGTCATGAGGGTATTCTTTTGTGCATATTTGGTTTCTATTTTGAAATATTAGATATTGGAATAAGCATACTTAAAAGTGAGATGCTCAGACCACATGTGGACGTGACAGCACCACTGTACTCAATGATCTGCTAGTGCAGAAATTGGTGAGATTACCTTCTACCAGTGTGAATCAGGTGTAGTTCAAATGTAGTTTTTTTTTCACTTTCCTGACCTAGAATTACTGGATCGTGAGTTAGGACTCGAGAAATGTGCCAGTTGATACCAAAAAAAAACTTGTATTTTCTCTGCCAAGTCAAGCTTGTCAGACATTACTTCTTGTTGCATGATGTCTTGACAATCACTTATTATGTCATCCAATATGCAAAAATGTATAATAATGAAGAGCATCTCCTATTTGTGTGTTTTGTGCTTTTTACAGATCTTAAGTTGAGGCATAAAGTTGAATTCTTTATTCAACACATTAACGTGATACACAATCTGTTTAAAACAAATGATCAGCAGTTTTTTTTCATTCTTGTTCTTATGATCACAAATCTAAAAATTAATCCCTGGACGTGCAAAGCTTCAATTTCAAAGTTTTCAAATTCTTTCGTGGCCTGCCACCACCCCACTATCCAGTTCATCTCTATAACTTTTCTAAAAGATGCTAATTAAGAATAATGTCAGATACTGTTTTGCAGTGTTGTTGGTTTTTGATTGTAATTCTTTAATTTCATAAGTAAATTGTAACAGCCTTTTTAAAACAAATCCTAAAACATTAACAGCAGTAGGTAGCATAAAGTGCACTTGCCAATGAAACTCCATCATGCAGTTTACATTTTGGTTTTCCCCTTGAATTCTTGTGAAATATCCTGATAAGTATAAGGCAAAAATCTTGAGCAAAATGTGTCTTTTTTTATGTAATACTAAAGTCTTTCTGTGAATATACCTTATTGAAAGATTAATCCTCAGGAAGTGATTAATTCATAGTTTGATAAAATACTTGACCTTTTGCATGTAACTTTTCCATTGAAAGCATCCCTAAAAACAAACAAAATACTGCAGATGGCAGAGATCTGAGAACAAAGTGCTGGAGAAACTCAACAGATTTGGAAGCATGTATGGAGTGAGCAACAGAGTTATCCTTTCAAGCACAATATAATCCTTCTTTGGAACTGAGAATGGGTAGAAATAGTATAGGTTTTATACGGTTGATAAATTTGAGGAGGGGCAAGTGGAACAAAAGGAGAGATTAGGCACTGACTGGAGGTGTTCCCCAAACAATCACCTAGACTGTGTTTAGTCTCTTAATGTAGAGGAAACCATTAGAAAGAAGTGATTTATTTGTGCTATCTCAACTGAAAGTTGTATTTAGCATCTTTGATAGCGAGGAGTGAGGTGGTAAAAAGGCAAGTGTTGCATTTCCTGCAATTCCATGGGAAGGCGCCATGGAAGGGCATGAAATGTATGGTAGAAAGAACCATACCTTCAGAACTCTGGGAGGTAGGGGAAGATGTGTTTGATGGTGACACATGCTACAGGTGATCAAAATGGGGAAGGATGATTCTTTGAATATGCAGGCTGCCAAGAGAAACCCTATTGTGGTTCTTGGAGGTAGGAGAAGGTATGAAATTGGGAGTGCCAGAAATGGGAATGGACAAGGTTGATGATCCTGTCCACTACAGTCCATTACAGTGTGGGAGATCCTCACCGGAGAAAGAAGAAATACATGTCAGAAACGCCTATGTGGGTGGCATCATCAGAACAAACGTGACAGATATGTAGAAACTGGGAGAATAGAATTCGTACAGGAAGCAGGGATTAAGGTGGTGTCTGAAACCACCAGGGAGAAGTGCAATACTGCAAATGATAAAATAAAGGATGTGCTATATCTACTAATTCTCCCCATAAACTATGCCAAGACAGTGGAACCCACAGGATTTCACAGCCCCATTGTTTCAATTGATTTCCAGTTTTATTCATTAACTTAGAATTATATGCTTTATGGGGATATAACTTTTTGTTTTGAACTACAAAAAGTAATATTTCCAGTTTTATCATTGCCCACTTATTGTAAAGTGAGTATATACTTATATATGAGTTTGCCGTCAGATATCATATTTCCACAAAGATTTCCAATAGGTAAACGAAACGGTAGCTTCATTCATAATGCTCCCAGTCCACTTAAGTTTCCCCCATGGCTTCATGTCACAATGTATTTTGCATTAACTTATTAGCTGATCTGTTTTACATTATATGATTAAGAAGGGAATCCTCGCTTCTTCCCAATCTTTTCCACTTTAGGAAGCAGGTGTCTGCTTCAACTTGGACATGGTCTGTCCATGCAGTCAGTTTGAAGAATAAAACTTGATATGGTTTCCACTACAATCAGTTTATTAGAAATGGAAGACTATTTTTTTGCTGCTGAATAACACTGCTTTATCTATCTGAGATAGAAGAACAGTTCTGAGATGGTCTATATGACAAGGGTGAACAACAAGTGCAGGACAAATTGGTAATGAGTGGGATCTGTTACAGAAAAGATGCACTCATCAAATGACATGACATCTGTTACACTTGCCGGGTGCAAGCTCTGTTGAGTGACAAGGACAGCTGAGCACTGGCTTTCTACCAGGACAAAAACTGTTTCTGAGACAGGGTCATTAAAACAGTAAATATGATCTTATATAATTTTTAAAACCTGTCATCTCTCAGGATATCTATATAGGCTTACATTTGACACTGACAACAATTCAACATTCAGTGAAGTATCTGGTTCTGTCATCAATCTATATTGTGTTCGTTGACCTTTAATAGATGGCTTGGGTCTGTAATAGTTACCCTCAGCACTGATAGCTGAAAGACAGCAGGGGGCAAATATCGAGGATTCTCATCCCTGACTATGATTCGGTATTCCTAGTGAATTATGTTTCTGTGTAGACATTGGATAGGGGAAGAATTGAGCTTCTTTTCCATATCCCTATGGTTGATGACCTGCCAATATTCATAATCTGGGGTTCCTACATGAATCATAAATATGAGTTGAGGTACAGCTTGTGCAGATGCCACAATATGAATCAATGCATTCAGTAGTGAAACAGTGAAAATTAGGCAAACTAGGGTTTCAAAAAGTTGAGGGGCACAGGTCATTGTAGATGTTTGTGCTGTGACAGCACAACTTGAGGAAATAAGTCTAAAAGTGGCAACTGAGATGTGACAAAAATAAAACTTTTTTTTTCTATTATGGAATAATGGGATATTTGGTACTGCATGCTAGCAAAGATAGTTAACGATAAAAGTTGGTAACTTTGTTAATTGGAGTTAGGTAAATATCTATTTAGCAGCAGGGTTTAAATAATTAGAAGTTAGCAGCTTAGGTTAAACAACTCCATGGAACATGATGCCATTTCAATTGGAAAGTCATTTGTCACTATTTCATATATGGTAGTTATTCTGATGTTCTATCAAATTAATCATGGGATTTCAAAGAGGAATTCTGTGGCAGTATCTTTCAGGAGAAAGTTAGGTTGGATCAAAACTAAAATGACACAATTTGTACATAGATTATGGAGTGAATGGACTGGATGGGGTAAAAAGCTTTTGATGTCACAAACATTTTTATATTCACTTCAGAGTTTGTGTTATTGTTCCTTTTCTCTTGTAGTTTTGTGCTACAGCTTATAGTTTGAGGTTTTGGTTGACATGACTAGAGAAAAGAGCCTGCTATTCATTTCACTTGTGTCCAAATTTTGTTTTCTGGTTCCAGTGGTGCATTTTATTTTCCATGAAGTCCATCGGTAGAGTGTTCAGCAAGGAAGCTTCAAATCCCATCCTGATTATGTAGACATGACACAAACATAATATAACCAAAGGTGACGTAACTGCTACGGGCTAGGAAAGGCAGGAAAACAAAAATGTCAAAATGATCCTAATTATGAAAAACACTATACTTTTAAATTCTTATTAGTTAGATATTTTCACACTGATGTAAAACAAAATGTTGTTGCTGCAAAATTTAGTTTTGACAAACAGGACCAAATGCAACATGTCAAATTGTTTGTTCTTTCCACTGAAACTGTTAAAGTTAATGGACAGAAAGAATGAGTTAATTGTAACCTAGACTCATGAACAGTTTGGCAAACATTAACAATTGGACAATTCCATTAACTAACTGCAGTTTTGAATCCCAATCAATTCCCGGGAAGAAGGGAAGACACATGAATACATGATCAATGCTGTGAGCTAAGCACCCATCACTATGAGAGAAGCTATATCATCTTTCTGCTGTATAAACAACAGAAATTTTCCCTTACAGTGCAGTTCTATAGCTCAGGAGATTTAAAAACCGAGATAAAAGGTTATGAAAGACTAGGTGATCCTGCAGGCTGTTAACTGAATATAGTTCTGAGGCCTGTGCGTAATAGTGTGACTGGGACACTACAAGAAAGGACACTGTTGAAGCATCAGGACTGTTATCTCCAGACTCAAGAATTAACAATCAGGCTGTGCGTGAGTGACTATAAGTTTCATTCAAATCATATGGAGGTTTGCCTCATGGTTTTGTTGGTTTAAGGAACTGAAAAATTTAAGCATAACCTAAAATGTGTTTGTCACAAGTATTTTGTTCTTTTACTTCTGGGGTCCAAGAATGATTTTAATGAGGAAGGGAATGGAATCCCTCACACCACAGATGCTGTACAACCTATTGAGCATTTTCAACATTTGTAGTTTTTGGTGTTGTTGTCAATTGAAGCAGACCTTGTACAGATTATAATTCTGATTTCCTACCAAAGTCCAAAGATATGCAGGTTAGGTGGATTGGCCATGCTAAGTTGTCCATGGTGTCCAAGGATGTGCAGGCTAGGTGGGTTAGCCACAGGAAATGTAGGGTTACAGGATGGGATGGGGAGGGACGGGGGACGGAGTGGGGGGTTGAATTGGGTCCGGGTGGGCTGCTCTTCAGAGGGTTAGTGTGGACTATATGAGTTGAATGGCCTGTTTCGGTTGTAGGGATTATGTAATTTTAGCTTTGCTATAATGTCTATCTCAACTAAAACAATGGAACTTCAAGGAATTTTTCAATCAGCCCTTATCCTACCATTTGAAAAGGTTCATATGTTATATTGTGAAAATGATTGTAAATTTTGGAGAAATATACATGCAAAAGTCAGAAAGTGATTAATTTGTACCTGGGTCTTTAGTATCCTGTCATTACCATTTGCTCTCAGTGATATGTTTTTCACTGGAGCCTAGGAGGTTGAGGAGTGACCTTATAGAGGTTTATAAAATCATGAGGGGCATAGATAAGGTGAATAGTAAGGGTCTTTTCCCAAGGGTGGGGGGAGTTCAAAACTAAGGGGCATTTTTTAAGGTGAGTGGAGCAAGTTTTAAAAAAAAGGACATAAGAGGCAACTTTTTTAAACACAGAGTGGTTCGTGTGTGCAATGAACTGCTAGAGGAAGTGGTGGATACAACGTTTAAAAGACATTTGGATAAGTATATAAAAGGAAAGATTTGGAGGGATATGAGCTAAATGCTGGCAAGCGGGACTAGTTTAATTTGGGAACATGGTCAGTGTGGACTAGTTGGACCGAAGGATCTGTTTCCACGCTGTATGACTGTATGGAAGCATACTGATATATCTACAGAGTCAGTTTGGGTTGAGGTCAGGAACAAGAAAGGAGCAGTCACTTTGTTAGGGGTTTTTTTTACAGACCCCCTAATAGTTGCAGAGAAGTGGAAGAGCGGATTGGGAGGCAGATACTGGAAAGGTGCAGAAGTCACAGGGTTGTAGTCATGGGTGACTTCAACTTTCCAAATATTGATTGGAAACTTTTTAGTTGTAATATTCTAGATGGAGTGAATTTTGTCCAGTGTGTTCAGGAAGGATTCCTGACACAGTACGTAGATAGACCAACACGAGGAGAGGCCACTTTGGATTTGGTGTTTGGCGCTGAGCCGGGCCAAGTGTTAGACCTGTTGGTAGGAGAGCATTTTGGCGGTAGCGATCATAACTCTTGTTACTTTTACAATAGTCATGGAAAAGGATAGGTACATACAGCAGGGTAAGGTTTATAATTGGGGGAAGGGTAATTACAATTCTGTTAGGCAAGAACTGGGTAACATAGAATGGGAACAGATGCTGTCAGGGAAGACCACTATTGAAACGTGGAGATTGTTTAAGGAATGCATACTGCGTGTGCTCGATATGTTTGTCCCTAGCAGGCAGGGAAGATGCGGTCGAGTGAGGGAGCCTTGGTTCTGGAGACAGGTCGAACGACTGGTTAAGAGGAAGAAGGATGCTTATATAAGGTTTAGGAAACAAGGAACGGAAAAGGCTCTAGAGGGATACAAGTTATCCAGGAAGGAGCTGAAGAAAGGGCTTAAGAGAGCTAGAGGGGGGCATGAGGAAACCTTGGCAGATAGGATCAAGGAAAACTCCAAGGCTTTTTTCACGTATGTGAGGAATAAGAGAATGACCAAAGGGTAGGGCCGATCAAGGATTGTAAAGGGAATTTGTGCACGGAGCCTAAAGAGATAGGAGAGGTCCTTAGTGAATATTTTTCTTCGGTATTCACAACTGAGAGGGGCCTAGTCGTACAGGAGGACAGTGTGAAACAGGCTAGTAGGCTAGATGAGGTCGATGTTAGTAAGGAAGATGTAGTAGGAATTTTGAGGAACTTGAAGGTAGATAAGTCCTCCGGGCCTGATGGGATTTATCCAAGGTTTCTAATGGGAAGCGATCGCAGGGCCTTTGGCGATGATCTTTTCGTCCTCACTGTCCACGGGTATAGTGCTGGAAGACTGGAGAGCGGCAAATGTCATTCCCTTGTTCAAAAAAAGGGAATAGGGATAACCCCAGAAATTACAGGCCAGTTAGTCTTCTGTCAGTGGGCAAATTATTGGAAAGGGCTCAGAGATAGGATTTATGATCACTTGGAAAGGCACAGTTTGATTTGTGATAGTCAGCATGGATTTGTGAGGGGTAGATCATGCCTTACAAACCTTATTGAATTCTTTGAAGAGGTGACCAAACACATGGATGAAGGTAGAGCAGTGGATGTGGTATACATGGATTTAAGTAAGGCGTTTAATAAGGTTCCCCATGGTAGGCTCATGCAGAAGCTAAGGAGGCATGGGATAGGGGCAAATGTGGCAGATTGGATTCAGAATTGGCTGACCCTCAGAAGACAAAGGGTGGTAGTGGACAGAAAATATTCAACCTGGTGCTCAGTTACGAGTGGTGTATCACAAGGATCTGTTCTGGGTCCTCTTCTATTTGTGATTTTTGTAAATGATTTGGATGAAGGAGTGGAAGGGTGGATTAGTAAGTTCGTGGATGATACGAAGGTGGGTCGAGTTGTGGATAGTGCGGGGGGCTGTTCGAGGTTATAATGGGACATTGATAGGATAGAGAGCTGGGCTGAGAAGTGGCAGATGGAGTTTAACCTTGAAAAGTGAGGTGATTCATTTTGGAAGGACAAACTTGAAAGCAGAATACAGGGTTAACAGAAAGATTATTGGCAGTGTGGCGGAGCAGAGGGATCTTGGGGTTCATGTCCACAGTTCCCTGAAAGCTGCCACCCAGGTGGATAGAGTTGTTAAGAAGGCGTACAGTGTGTTAGCTTTCATTAATAGAGGGATTGAGTTCAAGAGCCGTGGAGTTATGCTCCAGCTATACAAAAGCCTGGTTCGGCCACATCTGGAGTATTGTGTCCAGGTCTGGTCACCTCATTACAGGAAAGATGTGGAAGCATTGGAAAAGGTGCAGAGGAGATTTACCAGGATGTTGCCTGAAATGGAGGGAAGGTCTTACGGGGAAAGGTTGAGAGAGCTAGGGCTTTTCTCTTTAGAACGACGAAGGATGAGAGGTGACGTTATAGAGGTGTACAAAATGATCAGCGGTATAGATAGAGTGGACAGCCAGAAACTTTTTCCTCGGGTGGAGGTTGCTATTACGAGGGGGCATAGTTTTAACGTGAGTGGAGGTAGGTTCTTTACTCAGAGTGGTAGGGGCGTGGAATGCATTGCCAGAGAGGGTAGTGGAGTCGATCTCATTAGGGGCATTTAAGCGGCTATTAGATAGGCATATGGATGATAGTATAAAGGTAGGGGTAAAGGTTAGATAGACCTTAGGATTAGTGTAAAAGTTAGGCACAACATCGTGGGCCGAAGGGCCTGTACTGTGCTGTACTGTTTTATGTTCTATGCCTGAAAAATAATAGAAACAGAAATTCTGCACTAATTTAAAAAAGGTGTCGGGATAATGCAAATACACCTCAAATGTTGGATCTGCAGGCCTCCAGATCAAATGTTGGGTAGTGGGATTAGACCGGGTGGCTTTTTTTGGTTACAAAAATAATGGATCTCTGTTGGTGCCGTAAACTTTTCTTGATTCTATGCAGTACTGCCGGCAAGTTTTGACAAATCTTACAATACTTACAAGGTCATTCACTCGAAACATTCACTATTTCTTCTTCATAGATACTCCCAAACCCGCTGGTTGTTTACGGCATTTTCTGTTTCTATCTTAGCAGCATCCAAGTTAGTTTGCATTGTAACATATATTTAGTACATCGTCGAAAGTATTTGCAATAAAATATTTGTTTCTATTGCTGTAGGTCCTAAATACAATCAAATTTTTATGTTGTCGACGTTTTTCAATAAAGGCTTAAAATATGCGTAGCTTCACTGCAGTGCAACCACATCAAAAGGTGCAACTTCACAAATTGCTCAGTCTTATTTACCACAAATCTAACTTCACTCAAGCAGCGTGATGACAGTGCGATCATCCCTTCCTTGCCAAAGCATTTCCCCTTCAAAGTGAACCAGACCGTGTTTTCTCGCTCGCAGCAGGATTCCCACCACTTTATTGGAAATTGTCACGTAGGCATCAAACAATCTCCCAAAAGTTATATATATGTCCCCGTCTGGCCCGGTTTCTCCGCACCTTCTAATAACATAAAGCAACTCTTCGACTTCTTTTCCGACATGGGTGTGTGCATCTTTACCTCTCTGGTCTGTTTTGGATCCCTTTTTGGGACGCCCGTATTCTTCATCCCCTCTGTGCAACCGCAAAGTCACCGCATGGGAGCCACTAAAAGGATTGTACCTCTGGTACTGCTTGTGGTCGTCGGCCCATTGCTGCCACTTCTGCCTCAGGCTTGTTGTTCCGTCCTGTCCTGGCACTTGGCGATTGCTACCACTCTCTGCCATTTTTATTCCAGCATATTATCAGGATCCCCTAATCCTGGAAGGTTATCGCAGCCATTTCCGTCCCTCTAACAATCAGCAGCAGTAAAGTTTACTTCGCTTTTAACGCGACCGTCCACGTATCGCCGCTCACTTGCATTGAAGATGTTCAGGCTGTTTTTGTTGTTAAAAACCCACGCCAGGCTGCGGCTTTGAACATGCTCGTGTCTGTCAGAATCAGCTGGGATTATTAAGATTGACGGGTTAAAGAACCGATAGGAGAAACATTCCATCTGGACACCAATAGGGAAGAGCCGAGGGTGGGAGTGCCGCCTTTCCATTGGACAATGCAACTTATTGCAATCTATTTGTCACTAATACTAAATAATAGTCACCCCAAGTTGTGGATGAAATATTCACTTTTTAGTCTTTTTTTATATACTCTGAAGTGCCACTACGTACAAATGAGTGACCTTCTCACTACAAAATCATAGTGACGTTTTTGTTTTATTTTGTTTTAAAACTAATAACCATCACGCCAACAAACACACGCGTGTGGCAATTCAATAGTTACATGCAAAACTTGTTACAATCAATGCAAACCATCAAAAATTAGGGGGAGAGAGGGAAGAGTCTAAATCGAAATGCAGTTGGGGGGGGGGTGGGAATAAAACACTGTACCCCCGCGGTGCTCAACCCTCTCTAAAACTCTTTATTCGCTTTTGAGATAACTTGCAACGCAACTGTGCTTAGAGATAAGTAAGTTTCAGATAAGTTTCGAACTAGTTAAAGGAAGAGATTTTTTTTTACATTTACATAGTGCCTGCTATGACATCAAGGACCTTCCAAAACGAAAATAAGTACTTTTAAATGCAATCATGATTGTATTGTAGGACTGCAGATAAATTAGACAACTTCTAGAGACTACTGTCAAGGATAAAATCAAAATGTGGATCAAAGAACACGGGTTAAATGCAAATGTGCCTGACGACCCTTGTTGAATTATTTGAAGTAACATAGAGAGGTGATTAAGAATGTTGAACTCTTATTTACAGACGTATGAAAAGACATTTGGTAAAGAAGCAAATACACACTCTCTAATATCACTGCGGGTGTACTTACCCATCCGATTCCAGCAGTTTAGGAAGATTGCTCACTACCACCTTATCAATTAAAACGATGAACAATAGTCGCTGGACCAGCCAGGCGAGCCCACATTCCCCTGAATTAATTTAGAAAACAGACACAATTGGTATGAAATGATCATAGTGACCTGGATAGATAATTGTCTAAGAAAAAGCCACTTTGTAGTAAATATGTGCTAGGAGAATTGCAAGAAATGTTGCAAACAAAAGAGCTTAATGTTGAGAAGTGGAGATGAGTAGTAGTTATATAGTTTATAAGGGCAATATGCTCTGACGGAAAGCATTGGAAGATAACCAGAATTTTACCCTGTGCCGCGGTTACTTTCAGCTAGCTAATACTGCTGGAGTTTAGAAGAAAGAGAGGAAATCTCAAAGGAACCTATAAAATCCTAACAGTACTAGACATGGTAAATGCAAGAGAGACGTTCTCGATGACCAGACAGTCCAGAAGCAGGGGTCACAGTCTAAAGATGCAGTGTAGGTCTTTTAAGACTGAGATGAGAGGAAATTTTTTCATTTTGAGAGTGGTGAGCCTGTGGAATTCTCTGCCACAGAAAGCAATTGAGGCTAAAACATTGAATGTTTTCCTGCAGGAGGTATACAGTTCTTAGGGCTAAAGGGAACAAAGGGTATGGGGTGAAAACAGGAACAGGGTACTATGTTGAATGATCAGCCCCGAACATATTGAATGGTGGAGCAGGTTAAAAGAACTGAATGACCTATGCCCGCTCCTATTTTCTACATCTCAATTTTCTACTCCTGTTTTTCTTCAGAAACCTGAGGCCCTTTCTAGGGAACTGCACACGTCAAACAGATGTTGCTTTCAGTATCTATATCTCTATACTACAGTAAGTGTCGTGTTTCATTTAAAATCGTATTAATTGCTTTCAGATGAGGTTTTTTATGTAGAATACACACAATAGGCCGAATGGCCTCATTCTGCACCTTAACGATTCTGTAAACGGGATTGTTATTTTGAGATGAAGAAAAACAGTTTCGAATGTAAGAACAACACAACCAATATAAAAAAAAATATAATTTGGAAGGCTTTTTTAGAAAAAGAAAGCAAATGTTGATTGATACAAAAGGAAGTCTATGGTGATGATGAGAAGGTGATTAATAAGGTGGGCGGTGAGTCAGTCCCGGAACCAAGTGTCGCGCCTCTGGCAGGGCTCGGGATAGTTTTGTTGACGGACAAGAAGATGGCGCTTTCCAATGGGAACGTGTGTCGGAGGTTTTTGTTGCTTTTAGCTCAAGAAAACCTGGAGTTCCGGCTCCCGGTGAGTCCGAGTCGGGCCCGGGTTCTGGCCGCCCGGGGATAGCCGGAGGTGGGACTGTACTCTCGGTCAGACCCGGCCCCGCGGATCCACTTCCAGGACAAAGAGGAGAATTTGTGGCATTTTGTGTTTCAGATTTCCAGCAGCCGCAGGAGTCAGTTTTTACAGAGGCCGCTCGGTCCATCCTGTCTGTGCCAGTCATAAAACATCCACCTATTATAAAATAAAACAAAGAACTGTTGATGCTCGAAATCTGAAATAAAAACAAAGTGCTGGACGAACTCTGCATTGTCTGGCAGCATCTGTGGAAAGAGAAATGTTAAATGTATTTCAAGAATTCCTGTTTTTGATCCATCTATTCAACACCCATTTTCCAGCACTTGACCCATGGCTTGTATACTATGGCTTTTAAAGTGATCCTCTAAGTATTTTCTAAATGTCTTGAGGATTCTTGCTTCAACTATCCTTTCAAGCAGTGAATTCCAGATACCCACAACCCTCTGGGTGGGACAAAAAACTTCCTTAAATCCCCTCTAAACCTGCTACTTACCATAAAATGTTGGCAGTTGGATATTGATCCCTCAACAGAGGAGAAAGGTTTCTGACTATGTACCTTTATCGATGTCCCTCAATTTTGTACTTTTCAAACAGATTTTCCCCGAACTTTCTCTGCGCTATGGAAAACAATCCCAAACCTTTCTCCCAAACATTTTCTGAAGAAGAGTCTAGACCCGAAACGTCAACTTTCCTGCTCCTCTGATGCTGCTTGGCCTGCTATGTTCATCCAGCTCTACACCTTGTTATCCCAATCCCAAACCTTTCTACTTTCTCGTCACGTCTGAATCACCCCCTGCCCAGATAACAGCCTGGGGAATCTTCTCTGCATCCACTTGAGCGCAGTCACATACTTCATATCGTGCAACAAACAGAATACTGTAAGCAGTTCTATCTGTGGCCTAACTAATGTTCTGTAGAGCTCTTGTCATAATCTCCTTCTTTTGTATTCAATGCCTCAACTAATAAAGTGAAAAGTCACCATAACCACCTTCGCACCTTAACGACTCGCAGTACTTTGTTGTTATTTCAAGGAATGCCAACTCAAACATTGCATAAAGTTAAGAGCCCAATCTATTCAGAAACATATGTTCTATTTCCCTAGATCATTTGCTGAAGCTAGTTCATGCTCCAGGTACCAAAAGTGTCTCTGCATCTCATCCAAATTCACATGAAGTGTGAGATCTGATAACAGTTGCTTCACATGGAGATAAATGGGTGGCCAGTCCATGTCTCTGCTAGATCTCTGTAGTGCTTTCCCAAGAGCTGAAAATTTCACCCACACGCTGTGGTGCAAAGCTGGCTTCTCTCCACCAGGATTTGATCCTATACCTTTTGCTGGTGCAGTGGGTGAAACGAACCATGGGATTGAGAGGGCCCTAAAGAAGAAATGTTATAAGGCTCAGAACTGTGTAATGGTCTTGACCTTGAAGAAAGGAGCAGCAGTTACCAACTTAGTTTAACCTTTCTTCCATGTTAGTTAAGTTGTACTCATGATGGTTTGATGAATACTCTAGCAGTTTCATAACAGTTTTTAAATAAGTTCCTTTCAATCTAAACTAATAAGATTAATTCTTATACTGTTGTAAACTTTGCAGATGGTGCATTCATATATATTGCATGAAAAGATGTATTGTTTGCTTAGAGTACTGTTATTTCTCATCTGATACCTCAGCCCAGCAGATGAATGATCTCTCTAATGTGTATGAAATGTTTTAAGTGAATCTAATTTGGGTTGTTCCTTTCAGAAGAATGGGAGGTGATCTTGCCAAAAGACATAGGATTTCTTAAGAGGTTTGACAGGATAAACACTAAGAGGATGTTCCCCTTCACAGGAGAGCCTAGGTCCCGAAGGCACAGTCTCAGAATAATTTAAGACTGAGATTGGGAGGAATTCCTTCTCTGAGGGTTGAAAGTCTTTTCACCTCCTTGCCATGGAGAGTTGTGAGGGCAGAGACCTTGTGAATATTTAAGTCTGAGATAGAAAGATTCTTGATCAATCGAGAAATCAAGGGTAATGGGCAAAGGGCAGGAAAGTGGATGTAAGGAATGTTGGATCAGCCATGATCCTACTGAATGGCAGAGCTGGCTCGGGGGGCCCAAAGGCCTACTACTTCTTATGGTCTTAATATATTCTGATCTGTGCTTGCACTTATATTAGCCAGCACAAAATCTACCCTTGTGATACAAAATGGTTAGTAACTGCTGGTGCAACCTGGTCCAGGAATGGAAAACTGATGATTCTCACCTTGAAGGCCAACATTGGTGAAATATTTAAGCAACCCTGTTGATTCAACTTGTGTGCCATTCAGTTATTATTCTAACCAGGAGCCATCCTCACTGTCTGTGCTTTTGTGATTCAGTATTGGTGAAATGAACATCTGAAGTAATTTTAATGTCACCTTATTGCTAGTTGCTAAACCATTAGATTCAGTTACTTGGCTAAAATGATTATCAAGACATCCTCAAAGGGAGGAAGAATTTTACAAATTTTATTTAATTTTTTTATTCTCTAGTACAATAATGTAACTACCATTGAGCACATCTAAACTTTTCCAAACAAAAAGATATTGGAGGGGATATTGAAACTCGGATCAGAAAATCCTGTACTGTGATCAAGGAAGTATTTATTAACTCAGTATTCTTTTAATTCAGAAGGGTTTGATTAAGTAACTTTTCAGGGTTTTTATATGTGCCATTGCCAACCACATATCTTTTTGTTACAGGAGCTAAAATCCCTGTTTTCTCTTTGTGCTGGACAGTTAAGGTGTGAAGAAAACTTTGATGAAAAGGTATGATATGCCGTTAGTTTGTACCCCCCAATACTGAGATAATCACATCACACTACACTTGTAAACTATTGGATTTGTTTATAATTATACTGAGAAATCTCAAGTTATATTACAGTCTTTGATTGTTTGCTTAGTATGTTGTCATTTTCTGTAACATATATACTAATTTGTATGTGGGTTTTTTAAATATTAGTGATTGTGCAACAGTCTGTTTGCACTGCAATAGTCACAAAAGCATGTTAAACCTTTTTGATAGAAAAGTATAAGCAATGTTTAATGCCTGTTGCTGACCATCATTTTTCACACTCAGTATATATTCGTGTACCCTGTGCATTTCAGGCACAGTTGCTAGCCTAATTCCTCCACGCATGAGGCCTTAGTCATGTTCTCAGTCATGTCCTGCATCAGTTTCCATCCTTTCTACCATCATGCTGATATAATGATCCCATCCTGTTAAGTACCTGTAAAATGAGTAAATTAATTTAGGCCAAAAGGTGATATATTTCAGATGTTCAATGTTTGAAATAAAAGCAGAAGGGAATGGCAGTGCAGGCTAAGCAACATATATAGAACAAAAAATAGATGTTAAAATTTGAAACCTTCTGACCCTTTGTGGTGAAGAATAAATTTCTTGTAAGAGTATATTCCTCAGTTCTTATGCGAGGTGTTACGTGTGAACCAAAACTCTGAGTAACAATGCAATTTATTTTTCCCAAAGACTGCCAATTAGTTGTAACAGGAACTTGCTAAGTTTGAAAAGCTGCCTTCTTTGTCAGCTGCCAGTCAAAAATCCACATCTTTCAGTGGCTTGGTTTTATGTTGGAACAAATTTCCCGGCCTGTGCTCACACTCATTTTCCATATTGTACTCTGTTCTGGCAGTAGATTATTCATTCTTCTTTAGCTGAGTCTTGAATGTTTGGTTCATTTAGAAATTCTTGAGTTTCTAATAATATCTGCTTAATAGTAATAGCAATTCTCCAATCCTTATCTTCCTCTGGAATGGATAGACATACTGCACCAGAGGGATACAGATTTGGGTGGAATATTGGAGGCTCAAGTTTACACTTTAGTGGTGATGAGGGGTAGTCATTTTTAAACAACATTAGAACCTTATACTGCTCACCTTCTCACGGTGTTGCCTTTTTACCTGGAATAACACATTCCCAGTTCATTAAGTTTAGAGTACCATCTTGGATTTTACTGCAATGAAGCCAAAGGGACAGTCCTTACCCCAGGCTTTTCTTTTTCGTCGTCAACTCAGTGCAATTCTGGATGTAGTTTTACTTCAATCTTCCCTTCAGTGAGAGTGTTGATTTGGGGAGGGACAGTTGCTTCAGGTGATAGAGTTAAAGCAACTGTTCTTTCTCCTGCTCCCTCTGTTTCTCCTGTGACTCATTTACCTCCATGAACACCGCCACCTCCAAGTTCTCCTCCAACCCACTCACAATCCTGTCTTAGAAGTATATCGCCGTTTCTTCACTGTCACTGGGTTGAAATTCCAGAATTCCCTCCCTAATGGCATTGTTAGTCAACCTATGGCAAATAGCCTGCAGCAGTTCAAGAAGGCAATTCACCAAGACCTTCGCAAGGGCAACTAGGGACAGGCAATAAATGCTGGCCGGAGAGCCACCAATGCCCACGTCCAGCAAATAAATAAAAAAAAACTGCTTAACTGGTGATGGGAGTGGGGTGGATGGATTGCGGGTGCTGTGAGACAGTACCTTCCCTTATCCCTGATTGATTCAGCCCTGACTCGTTGTTAAGGGCTTTCAGCATCACTGCCATTAGATTATGTGCTACAACCCCACCCTAAATCCTCAGCTTTGTCACCACCCTCTCCTGATTTTAAGGCTGCCATTAAAACTCCAACTGAGTCTCCTGTGCTTTGGTGTATTTTTTTCCATTTGCTTCGGTGAGATGCCATGGGGCATTATTCTAATTTATAGATACTGTATGAATGTTGTAGTTGTGCTTCAAGGGCCTGTAATGCCACTGACATCAAACCTAATGCTACAAGCCAAATAATGGAAAAAATACTGAAGTCACAAACCCTTGCATCGTCAGCTGTGGTGTATTTAGAAATGAACAGGACTTGGTATTGTGAGTATCCAAAAGGAAGCACAATTCATGTTATTATTCAACTTAGAATTAGGTTATGATTCATGGAACATCTGGAGTTTCTGTGATATTTGATACCAGAGTTGTTACAAATCTATTTTTTATTTGTTCACGAAATGTGGACATTGCTGGCTAGGTCAGCATTTATTAGCCATCCCTAATTGCCCAAAGGACAGTTAAGAATAAACCACATTGCTGTGGTTTTGGAGTCACATGTAGGCTAGACCAGGCAAGGATGGCAGTTTCCTTCCCTAAACGACATTAGTGAACCAATGGGTTTTTCCAACAAATGACTTTGCTTTTACAGTGATCTTTAGACTTTTAATTCCAGATTTTTATTAAAGTCAAATCCACCATCTGTCTACGTGGGATTCAAACCCAGGTCCCCAGAACATCACCTGGGTTTCTGGATTAATAGTCCAGTGATAATACCACTAGGCCATCGCCTCCTCTTAATCATCTATACAATATATTAGATTGTCTGTTTAATAAGGTTTGTCTACAGGTTGGATTTGGAATTTTATTGCTGTTTCTAGTTTGTGATGTAGTTTTCACTCTCTTCTAAGTAGGAGTGAACTGCTGTAATTAAGGAAATACTTGAGGATTCAAAGCACATTTTGTTGCAGGGTGATGAATGTAGATGTTCAAATTCCTGTAATGTTCAATAAAATTTGCAAATTTCCTAGATGTGAAGTTTAGTTTAATACCAACGTGTCTTAACTTAATTCACATTCACTAAAGATCTTTTAAAAGCTTCATCAATATTCCTGACATTCCAAGTGTCTTAATTTATTTTTCAGTCTCCATTCTGGATTCTCCAGATTCCCTCTGAGGACATGGCAAAAGGAATCATGAAACGGACAGTGTGTGCAAAGTAGGTAATTCATGTAACTGTTTTTGATGAACAGAGGTTGGAGAATAATGTTTGCCTCTCTTGTTTATATATTGCAAAATGACCTACACTATCTCCTGATATGTGGGTCTCTGAATACATTATGGTTGGTTGCTGTGGAACATTGTTAAAAATGGGTTGTGTAATACAATGCATGATACTTGTGTGTAACGAGTCGGGGTCAATAGTTGGGGTGTTGTTGGAATATAAAAGCATCTGTTATTGCCCAAAATATGGCATTGGCATTCAGTTCAGTGCATTAATATAAACATGTATTTAAAGAAATTTCTTTTATTGCACAGTGGCAAATCCAACTGAGAGCTTTAATTTATTTTTTTCTGAAGTAAACAGTGAAAAATGTTCTTTCTTCCTTGTCTTGCTCTCTTCCATTTTCTTTTAGTATTTTCACTCTTCTAAAAATCCATTTACTGTTTTCCTTTTATCTGTTCAATTAGCCATGTCATCCAAGGCTCAAAAGATCAAGCACAGCTGCACATTTATTAAACTTGAATTTTAGGTATTTTCCAGAACTGACATTAGGTCATAGATACTGGCATATAGTTACCTGATTCAGCCTTTTCTCTCTTTATAACACCATACAAATGTTACAGCAGCAGCTCCACTGTGGTGCAACAGATGTATTTGTTCTGCACTCCGTCAATCTCTTTTTGGAAGACATGCCACTAATCTGCTAACTTGTTTTCTAAACTTTTTTCCATTTAATTTTTGTCAAATGCTTTTCTATCTTACTGAACTCTTCCCTTTATCAGCACTTTACCAGTCCAGCTCCTTGTTTTAAACTAATTACCTATGTCTTGCATTGAAATTAATTATTATCCCCTTGTTTCCATTTTCGTTTGTTTACCAGCTTTACGTAATTTAGTTTTTGAAAGTAATGCTCCTTTCCTTGATAGATGAAAAATGTACAATGTTTGCACTTTGAAATATACTTCCAATTTTGACCACTATATTGGGATAGTTGAAATAGCCAAACATTATGTTGTTCCCACATATCTGCAGAATGTATAAAAAATCATGAGGGGCATGGATAGGGTGAATAGTCAAGGTCTTTTCCCCAAGGTAGGGGAGTCTAAAACTAGAGGGCATATGTTTAAGGTATGAAGAGAAAGATTTAAAAGGGACTTAAGGGGCAACTTTCTCACACAGAGGGTAGTGTGTGTATGGAATGAGCTGCTAGAGGAAGTGGTGGAGGCTGGTATAATTACAACATTTAAAAGATATCTGGATGGGTATATGAATAGGAAGGGTTTAGAGGGATATGGCCAAATGTTGGCAAATGAGACTAATTTAGATTAATTTAGGATACCTGATTGTGGTGGCTGTGCGGTTAGCACTGTTGTCTCACAGCGCCAGGGACCTGGGTTTGATTCCACCCTCGGGCGACTGTCTGTGTGGAGTTTGCACATTCTCCCTGTGTCTGCGTGGGTTTCCTCCGGGTGCTGTGGTTTCCTCCCACATTCCAAAGATGTGCAGGCTAGATGGATTGGCCATGCTAAATTGCCTGTAGTGTTCAGGGATGTGAAGCTTAGGTGGGTTATAGGGGGATGGGTTGGTGTGGACATGTTGGGCCGAAGGGCCTGTTTCCACACTGTAGGGATTCTATGATTCAAAAACATGGACAATTTGGACTGAAGGGTTGGATTCCATGCTGTACATCTCTATGACTCTATGTTCAGAAAAATCTTTACCTGTCTCAATTTGTACAGGTTCCCTTCATATTTCTTAACTCTTTCCAGGTGGAATCTGTCAATTTAAGGCACTGGAATGTTCACTGGCAATGTAATATAATTATTCCCTTAAACTACCATACAACCTTTGTATCCCTGTCAAGCTCTCCTTAATTTGCACATTCTTCCCGAGTCTTGTTTAACCTTAAGCCACAAATATATCCCCCTTGGTTCAGTTGGTAGCACTCCCCTCTAAGTAAGGAGGATGTGGGCTCAATTCTGACTTGGGCATATGAGCAAAAAAACCTAGCCTGATATTTCGGTTCATTACCGAACAGAAGGCTGCACTGTCAAGAGGTGCTTGTCTTTGAATGACATATTAAACTGAAGGTGTTTGTGTCCAGTTGCTCAGGTGAGTGTAAATGATCCCATGGCATCCCACTTTTACATTGGGAATCCCTTTCATCATTGTGCATGGCACTATCACCATGCTAAATGGGACAGACTTCAAACAGATCTAGTAACTCAAGATTGACATCCATGAGGCGCTGTGGGCCATCAACAGCAGCAGAATTGTACTTCAGCACAATCTGTAATCTCACAGCCCGATATATTCCCTTCTCAACCATTACCATCAAGCCAGGGGTCAACCCTGGTTCAATGGAGAATGCAGGAGGGCATGCCAGGAGCAGCACCAGGCATACCTGAAAATGAGGTGTCAACCTGGTAAAGCTGCCAAAACAGGATTACTTGTATGCTAAACAGCATAAGCAGCAAGTGATAGACAGAGCTAAGCAATCCCATATCCAACAGATCAGATCTAAGCTCTGCAGTCCTGCCACATCCAGTTGTGGGCAATTGAACAACTCACTGGAGGAGCAGGTGCTACACGTATCCCCATCCTCAATGATGGAAGTGCACAATACATCAGTGCAAAAGATAAAGCTGAAACATTGGCAGCAATCTTCAGCCTGAAGTGCTGATTGGATGATCCATCTCGGCCTTCTCCAGTGGCCCCCAGCATTACAGATACCAGTCTTCAGCCAATTCGATTCACTCCACGTGATATCAAAAAACGGTTGGAGACACTGGATACCGCAAAGGCTACAGGCACTGACAGCATTCGGGCAATAGTACTGAAAACTTGTGCTCCAGAACTTGCCGCTCCCCTAGCCAAGCTGTTCCAGTACAGTTACATCACCGACATTTACCTGACAATGTGGAAGACTGTACATAAAAAACAGGACAAATCCAACCCGGCCAATTACTACGCTATCAGTCTCAATCATCAGTAAAGTGATGGAAGTCATCAACTTCTGTGCTATCAAGCAACAATTGCTCCGCAATAACCTGCTCTGAGACGTTCAGTTTGGGTTCCACCAGGGTCACTCAGCTCCTGACCTCATTACAGCCTTGGTCCAAACTTGGCCAAAAGAACCGAATTCCAGAGGGGAGGTGAGAGTGACAGCCCTTGCCGTCAAGGTTGCATTCGACCAACTGTGGCATCAAGGAGCCCGAGCAAAACTGGAATCAATGGTTATCAGGGGGCAAACTCTTCACTGGTTGGAGTCATTCCCGACACATAGGAAGATAGTTGTCTCAGCTCTAGGAAGATCAGTTGGAGATCAGTTGTCTCAGTTCTAGAATCTCTGCAGGAATTCCTCAGTAATGTCCTAGGTCCAACCATCTTCAGCTGCTCTATCAACGATCTTCCCTCCATTATAAGTTCAGAAGTGGGGATGTTCTGCCTCTGTGTGCATTCATTCAGCAACTGGTGTGTAAGGACATCTCAGGTCTCATACCTCTGACACATTACAACTTCCCTTTTTCCATTTGATTACCATTCACATAATCCGCCTTTTCTGTTTGCATCTCTGCATCCTCCTCACAGTTCACTCCCATTCATTACCCCTTGGATATTGAAGCACTTGTTACTTTTTTTTTACAATACTGTTTGAAATGTTCTGTGCATTCACGGTTTATATGATTGTAAAGTTTTGAAAATCACCTCTTAATTTTCTTGTGGATTTTTCACTTCATTGTTTGATGTCCCTTTCGCTTTCTACTGCAGTGCTACCACATATCCTATTTCTGCTGTTCTCTGGTGATAGTTTTATACTGGTCATTTGTGGCACACCTTCAACTGCTGTTCTAATTCTTTTACTGGCCCAACTGTTCCTTCCTAGCTTCAAACATTGATTTTACTTAGACTTTTCAGACATTGAATTAGTTTAAATCATCCTTTTTGCACTGTTTACGTTGCCAGCAAATAAATTGTTATTTTCGATTAGTTAAAGAGTATCAATTCAGTTGTCCATCTCCATACTGTGTTATCTCTGACTCCAGCATCTGCAGTTCTTGCTATCTCTCAATTCAGTTCAAGTTTGTCACCTTCCCTTGTTCTCAGATTCACTCCATCATGCCAAGAATGTGAACCCTTCTTTCTTGCAACAACTGCAACTTCATTTGTCCTGCTGTTTTCCAAGTGGTAGTCAGTGACTAGCGAGGTACCACAGGGAGCACTGCTTGGATTCCAGCTATTCACAATATATAGTAATGATTTAGATGGGTGAAGTAAATGTTATATTTCCAAGTTTGCAGATGACACAAATCTGGGTGGTAAGGTGAACTGTGAGGAGGATGCAGAGCTGCAAACAGAAAAGGCGGATTATCTGAATGGTAATCGATTGGAATAAGGGGAGTTGTAATGTGTCAGAGGTACGAGACCTGGGATGTCCTTGCACACCAGCCGCTGAATGTATGTATGCAGAGGCAGCGAAGAAGACAAAGCTTATGTTAGCCTTTATAGTGAGACAGTTCAAGCACAGGAGCAGGCACGTCTTGCTGCAATTGTACAGGCCCTTGGTGGGACCACCCCTGGAGGATTGTGTGCAGTTTTAGTCTCACTATCTGAGGAAGGATGTTCTGGCTATGGAGGAAGTGCGACGGAGGTTTACCAGACTGATTCCTGGGATGGCAAGGCTGATGTAGGAAGAGAGATTTTATTCACTGGGTTTAGAAGAATGAGGGGGTTCTCCTGGAAACCCACAAAATTCTAACAGGACTGGACAAGGTAAATGAAAGTTTCCTAATGATTAGAGAGTCTCAATCTAAGGATACAGGATAGGCCACTTTGGACTGAGATGAGAGACTTTTTCACCCAGAGAGTGGTGAACCTGTGGAATTACCTGTGATAGCAAATGGTTGAGGTCAGCACATTAAATATTTGCAGCAAGAAATTAGATGTAGTTTTTAGGGTATGGGAATAAAGTGGGAACACGGTACTGAGTTGGATGATCAGCCATGATTATACTGAATGGTGAAGCAGGCTAAACGGCCTAAATGGGACATAATTTTAAAGTGAAAGGCAGGAGTTTTAGAGGAGATTTGAGGAAAAATGTTTTCACCCAGAGGGTGGTGGGGTTCTGAAGGGTAGTTGAGGTGGGAAACCTCACAACCTTTGTCAAGTTCTTGGTTGAACACTTGAAGTGTCATAACTTTCAAGGCTGTGGGCCAAGTGTGGGAAAATGGGACTAGTGTAGGTAATGGTATATTTTTGGTGGTACAGACTCAAGCCAAAGGGTTTCTCCTGTACTGTATGTTTCCAGCATGTTCCTCCTCCGATATTGTACATGTCTAAAATTTCTCTCCTTCACATATTCAACATGTAGCACAGTGTATAATCCACTGGTTATTGTCCATTGAGCTATTTGTGCCAATCTGTTGCTTAAATCTTAACTTCCCTTTGTAGACTTCATATGTCCATCTTCCTTTGTCATTAGTTCTTTTATAAACTTGGGCATCTGGCTGTTTTCCTTCCTCTTCCAAAACATTTTCCAACTATTCTCTAATGTCCTTCACCCTCTAATTTGTGAGGCAACATACCACTGTCAGTCACATCTGCAAAATTGTTTTTTTGACTGCAGAATTGTATGCCACTATCACTATCTTATTCTTGCCTCATATATCCCCGGAGAGTCGTTTATTTAGTTAAGTAAATGTTGCAACTATCCCAGAGCTTCTGTGTGTGTTAGAGTAGTTTGTGTCACAATTTCCAATATTCTTGAGCAGAAAGTGAAAGAACTGATGCAGTGATGAGTCTAAAATAAGCCTGTTCATGTGTTAGGTCAGAAAGCATGTTCCCACATAAAGATTGAAGTAGTCTGAGACACCTACCTCCAGAAACACTTTGAGGCTTGTTCAATTGAACCTTTGAAACTAAGATCAATGTTTTGTTAGGCAAGAGTAGAAAGGGATATCAGACCAAATGGTTAATGGAACAATAACAGAAATTGCTAGAAAAACTCAACAGAGAGAAAGCAGAGTTAACATTCTCACCATCACCTGGTTCATCTCTGACTGCTCCCTTCCCTTCCTCAACATCTCTGTTTCCATTTTTGTGGATAGGCTGGCAAATAGTATTCACCAACTCCCACAGTTCCTTTGATTATACATCCTCACCATGCTTCCTGTAAAGACTCTATTCCATTCTCCCAGTTTCTCTGTCTCTGTTGCATCTGTTTGGACCAAAGGGTCTGTCTCCATACTGTATGACTCTATCTGTTCCAATGACAACTTTGACAAGAGGGCCTCCAAAGTGTCAACCTTCTTCCTGAACTGAGATTCCCCACCACTGTGGTTGAATTGGCCCTCAGCCATGTCAGACCCATCTCCCGCACTTCGGCTCTCACCTGTTCCCTTCCCTCCCACAACAACAATAGGTTCTCCCTGGTCCTCACTTAGCACCCCAGCAGCATTCACATCCAGAGGATCATTAGTTGCCATTTCCTCCACCTCTGACTGGATGCCACCACTGATACATATTCCCTCATCAGCCTTCCGCAGGGACCAGTCCCTCCAGGACACCCTGGTCCACTTCTCCAACCCCAACATCTCGCCACACCCCAACAGCATCTTCCCATGAGGCAACACCTCTCTCCAATGCCCTGGGAACACCTTCCCAGGTGAAGCAGTGATTTACCTGCACTTCACTTAATCTAGTCTACTGTATTTACTGCTCACAATATGGTCTCCTCTACACTGTGCAGACAAAATGCAGATCGGGTGACTGTTTTATAGGATACCTATGTTCTGCCTGCAAAAATGACCCCAAGCTTCCAGTTGCCTGCCACGTCAACACACCACTGTGTCCCTGTGTCTCTGTCTCAGGCTTGTTACAGTGCTCCAGTGAACCTCATCGCAAGCTGGAACAACAACATCTCATTTTCTACTTAGGAACACCATAGTCTTCTGGACTCAATATCAAGTTCAATTATTTTGGAGCCACAGCACCTTCTCCCATGTCCTAACCCCAACCCCCACATATCAGGCCTTGTCATCACATGGGCTGCTACCTTAACCAACCCATGGTCCCCATTAGCAGCTATTCATTCTCCCGTGCTGACCTTTACCCTCTTCTTTGTCTGTCCAACTGTTGTTCTCTTTCTCTTTTTCTCTCACTCTCTCTTCTGTCTCTCTCTCTCTGGGCTCCATCTCTGCCTATCATTTGCTCCTCTCTCCTCCCCCCAAATCATCTTCAACATATATACCAACCTTTTCCTAACTACAGCCATTCTGAAGAAGTTTCACTGGACCTGAAACGTTAATTGTGCTTTCTCTCCACAGTTGTTGCCAGACCTCAGTTTTTCTGTTTTTGTTTCTGATTTCCAGCATCTGCAGTTCTTTGGGTTTTGTTGTCAAATGTTAAATGGAATTAGTATACAGATTTCCCCCATGACTTAATTCAAGATTGAACAAACACAGTGGATTAAATGACCTATTAAAAAACACAGAGAATACTGGAAATTTGGCTAATAAAGGTTAATGTTTAGGGAGTGCTTCTCCATCAAAACTGATTCGTAGTGTTTTGAAAAGGATTACTCCAGTACTTTTTTCAGTTACTGATTGGAGCTCTGATACGTCCCACAGACCCTGGCCCTTCTGGCTACTGTTGGAAATCTAGAGGCCTGATCACTGTCCCAGTGGAGAGAGCACGGAGTACTTACAAACTGCAGTCAGAGGCTTCTCTTCAATCTGAGCTGTAGTAAAGCCATCAAAGCATGCAGCTTTTGGCATCAGTCCCAATTCATAATGTCTTTGCATTCACAACAGAACTATGTAAATAAAAATAAGGTCGGAAGCTAGAACTATTCCTCATTGCCTCATTTTGTATATAACCAGTGGCCCATTTTCTGTTTAAATGCAAATTGAGTTCTTTTTCCCACCATCATCATCTTATGGAAGCACTGAAGATTTTCAGGTAACAGGAAGGGGCATTTTTCCAGGTAGGTTATTTGCTGTACCCTTTGTCTGACCTTTGTTCCTTGATGTGGGTGTTGCCTTGGTGCAAAGGTTGAGAAATTTGGCCCTTTTGTCTTTTAAGGAAAAGATATTGCAATCTGAGTGTTAATGAGAACTACTGATAGAATTACAGTATATGCATTATTCCTGGTGTTTCACCTAGGTCACTGTATGGCAACAGAACCCATGTTTGAAGAAATTGTTTTGGACACAACAAACCATGCTTTACTTTGCAGATCAATATTTGAATTGTGGGGTCAAGGAAGAACACATGAAGAACTTTATAACTCACTGAAAAATTATCCTGCAGACAGAATGGTGTGTATGCACAGGAACCATCTACATTGTCTTGTGAATGTTGCTAAAACTGTAGGTCTGAGTTAAATTAACCATATTTATTTTTTTCTACTTCAGATCCCATTCCTTCATTGTGGTTCAACATATCAGATAAAGGTTTATGCATTCAATAAAACATTGACACAAAAAGAGAGGATTCAAAAGATAGATGTATGTATAATATTCCTTTAATATACTGTCTATGGTTTAGCTTATGTTTATTTTCACAGTAGTGTTGGTTAATCTAGAAGTCTGAGAATATTAAGAGAGAGAAAATAACTTCCTGAATGCCTCAGTTGGTAACTAATTGCTAAATGTGTAACTAATGGCATATGCTACCAGGGCTTTTCATCCTTGTTCTTCACTGGATTCGATGGTCAGAAGGTAGCACTAAAATTGTTTTCAACACATATAGGTTAAGGTGGGAAAAGTGATTCCTGCAAAATATGTGGGGATGGGGACAGGTTGTGTACTGATGGTGTTCATAATAGCTGAACTGTTGGCACCATCATATTGCACAAATAGAAAAATGAGAACTTGAATAAAGTTTCAGATGCCAATTGTGGTGTTGGAACATGATTCCCTATATTTGGGAGAGGTGGGAGACTTTTATGACAAGAGAAAAGATAATTTTGCTAAGACTTCCTTCATTTAAAACAGCCACTTTTGCTCAAATTTGATACACTTGTTTAAAAAAAATGGAGGATCTTGTATAACAATTTTCTCTGGGAAAATCTTTGGTCTTTTCAATGTTTTTGTTTGCTATTCTAATTATACATTTCCACCAATAATTTAGGAAAGTGTCTTTTACTTTTGCTTCAGCCAACAGAATCATAGAATCTCTGCAGCGTGGAAGCAGGCCTTTCGGCCCATTGAGTCCACAATGACCCTCCAAACAACTTCCCTCCCAGGCCCACCCCCCTACCCCATCCCTGTAACTCTGCATTTACCATGGCTAATCCACTTAGCCTGCACATCCCTGGACACTATGGGCAATTTAACATGGCCATTCCACCTAACCTGCACACCTTTGGACTGTGGGAGGAAACCGGAGCACCTGGAGGAAACCCATGCAGACACGGGGAGAATGTGCATACTTCACACAGTCGTTTGAGGCTGGAACTGATCCCGGATCCCTGATGCTGTGAGGCAGCGGTGTTAACCACTGAGCCACCGTGCTGCCCATACGATACAACTATTTATCTAATACTATTTAACTAGTTTCACAGTCTACCTTCTTTTCAATAATACTGAAAGCAGCAAGCATTTTGATTGAGTTTTAAGATCATAAGAAATAGGATCAGGAGTAGGCCATTTGGCCCCTTGAACCTGCTCCATCCTTCAATAGGATCGTGGTTGATCCAACATTCTCATATCCACTTTTCTGTGTTTTACCTGTAACCCTTGATTCCCCTACTGACAAGAGTCTATCTATCTCAGCCATAAATATATACAAGGACTCTGCCCCCACAGCTCTCTGTGGCAAGGATTTTAAAGACTCTCAATCTTCTGAGAGAAGAAGTTACTCCTCATCTCAATCTTACATTGGTGCCTCTTAATTCTAAGCTATGCCCTCTTGTCCTAGACCCTCTCATGAGGATAAACATCCTCCCATCATTTACCCTGTCAAGGTTCTTAAGAATCCTATATGTTTTAAAGAGATCACCACTAAATCTTCTAAATTCCAGTGAGTAGAATCCCAACCGGTTCAGCGTTGTTCATAAGACAATCCCTCCATATGAGGGATCGTCCTAGTGAACCTCATCTGAACTGCCTCCACCGAAATAATATTTTTACTTAATTAAGGGGACCAAAACTGCTCACAGTACTCCAGCTGGGGTGTCACCACTATCTTGTACAGTTGCAGTAAGACCTCCCTCCTATTATACTCCAATCCCCCTTGATTAGCCTTCCTGATTGCCTGCTTACACCTGTGTGTTAACTTTCTGTGTTTCGTGCATACATATCCCCATCAAAGTATTTATGCCTAGATTTCTCTTGCTGCTTAATACTTTCATTTACACTCTTATCAGTGCAGGGTTGCACTTACAAAGATGGATAGCAAATCTCAAATTACACAAATCGTGCTTAATTATTTCCTTGTTGATAACTATCATTGTTAGAGACCTGAGAGTAGGCTTTCTTCCTCATTGGCCTGTGATGCAGGAGGAATGAGGGGAAAAATGAATATTTATAAAAATGTTATTTGTAGAACAGCTAGCCAACATTATGTCTATTGCATGACTTGGCTCAATATTCTGCCCTTCCATCATTGCTAGACTGTGTCTTGTATGTGCAGCTACAGGGTATGCTGCAGAAACGGACCATCTTCCACCTTCCTTCTCAGTCACCTTTTCCACCATCACAGCAACTGAGTGACTTGCTTTATCAAAGAGCAGTCATGGAGGTGCCTCTAAAGACATAATGACTGATGGAATACTGTGTCCAGTTCTGCCCGCCTGGTTATAGGAAGGCTATTATTAAGCTGGAGAGGGTTCAGAAGAGATTTACCAGGATGTTACTGGGTATGGAAGGTTTGAATTATAAAGAAAGGCTGGATAGGCTGGGACTTTTTTAGCTGGAGCTTCGTAAGTTGAGAGGCAACCTTATAGATGTTTATAAAATAATGAGGGGCATAGATAGGATTAAAGGTAGTAGTCTTTTCCCTAGGATGCGGGAGTTTCAAGACTAGCGCACATTTTTAGGATGGGAGGAGAGAGATTTAAAAAAGTCATGAGTGGCAAATTTTTTACACAGAGGGTGGTTCGCGTGTGGAATGAACTTGCTGAGGAAGTGGTGGATGTGGGTACAATTACAACGTTTAACAGACATTTGGATAAGTAAAGATTTGGAGGGATATGGGCCAGGAAAAGGGACGTGGGACTAGTTTAATTTGGGATTATGTTCGGCTTGGACTGGTTGGACCAAAGGGTCTGTTTCCGTGCTGTATAACTTTATGACTCTGTGACTCTATGACTCACACATCATTGTGGAAATAATGCTATCACATCCAAGTTACACATTGTTCAGTATTGGGCATATACTCCTTTTCCTTCATAACTGTTGGATCAATATTCTGGTATTACCCACCTTAACCGTTGTTAAAAGCACCATCACTACAAGGACTAAAGTGCTTCAAGGAGAAGACCCAGCATTATCTTCTTGGGGCAACTAGCAGTGGGTATCATTCCAGGCTTTTCCCTGTCACCCAGATCCTGAGAGAAAGTCAAGTAGAAACACCAGGAGCTAGAGTGGGAATGTGTAAGCTGCATGTGTGTTTGGAAAAGAGTGAGTGAAATTTGCTGGAATGAGTGAATCACTGGGAGAGGGTGACTGCTGGTTTGAAGAAGTATGTTGGCTGAAGAAAATGTTCCAAATGATCCTTTGATCTAGTGGTAAGGTTAGGATAACCTATTGGCTATCGTGCTGTGCTAGTCAGTCTGAGGTTCACAGTTCAATTTCCGCCTTGCCATTTGTGAATTACATGATAATGCTTCATCAAAAAAATAACCATGCAACTGCCAGTTAGTGGGAGCCAGTCAGGAGCTGAGACAGCAGTGGTTGATGAAAAGGACCTGTCACATTTGCGTAGCCAGGTCTACTTGTGTCTCCAGCCCCTCACTACATGGTTGACTCTTCAGCCTCTTCGGGTATCGAGGGATATGTAATTTCAGTATCTCCCACATCCCATTCCAAGGACACAATAACAGGATGTCCAGAGAAATCAGCGAGAGTCTGGTATGTGTATACAAATTGCTGCATGTTAGCATAGGGATAAATACTATCACTGAAGTCCCCTATCAACATCCTGAGGATTGCCATTGATCAGAAACTGAACTGGACTAGCCATATAAATACAGTGACTACAAGAGCAGGTCAGAGACTAGGAATTTTGCAGGGATGACCTCACCTCCTGTTTCCTCAAAACCTGTCAATCTTCTACAAGGCACAAGTCAGGAATGGGTGGAATACTCCCCACTTGCCTGGATGAGTGCAGTTCCTCCAACAACACTCAAGAAACTTGACACCATCTGAGACAAAGCAGTTCTCTTGATTGGCATCAGGTCACAAACAGTCAATCATTCCACCCACTGACAGAGTAGCAGCAGTGTGTACTATCTACAAGACGCACTGCAGAAACTTGCCAAAGTTCCTTAGACAGCAACTTCCAAACCCCTGACCATTTCCATCACAAAGGACAAGGGAAGAAGATACATGGGAACACATGCAAGTTCTCCTCCAAACCACTCACCATCGTGATTTGGAAATATGTTGCTATTCCTTCAGTGTCGCTGGATCAAAATCCTGGAGCCTTCTCCCTAAGAGCATTTGGGTCAACCTACAGCACATGGGATGCAGTGGCTCAAGATGACAGTTCACCACCACCTTCTCAAGGGCAAGAAATGGTGGCAGTGTCCACAAGTGAATAAAAATATCTTCCCATGCTTGAATTTTACTACTGAAACTATGGTTATAATGGTTATAGTTCACTTATGTCTTATAACTAGAAACATGACCTGCAATACTTTATAAATATTAAAGCAAGAGTGAAGGCTGGGGCATTCCTGCATAAGATGATTATACAAAGTGCTGGGAACTGTCATTTTCACAAGAATAACATACCAACCAATGCATTGTTCTAATTATCGAAGTTGCCAGAATGTAAAAAAAATGTTCTGATGAATTATGTTTTTGTGATGCATGTCAATTTGTCTGAAATTTTGTCTCATGTTTTTCACAGAATTTAGACTTCCTTCCCTTTCAAGGAACAGTGAATCTAAAGAATCCAGAGCATGTGTTTTGGTTACTTGAAGACTATGGTACAGACCCGAATCATGCTCCAGAGAAGCCTTTTTCTATTTATTTTGGAAGATGGGTGAGGATTTGTAGAATAATCCCCTCCATAGAAGTTTAATATTTGTTGATAATTAACATTTTTGTACTCCTCCCTCACTGGGAAAATGTCCAGTTTGATGTACAAAGCAGAAAATGTCTGAAGTTTTAACCCCTTATCAAGTACTGGTTTAGTTGATCTGAACATGACTGGTAATAGAATGGCTCAATTGACCTCAATACGTAAATTACCCAGCCAGGATCCCTACTGTAACATATGGTTTGTATAGTTAAATAGCCTGTAAACAGCTGGGGTTCAAAATTTGTCTTGCTGTTGGTTTTTGAGGGTATTGGTTAATGAAGTGAGTGGAAACTAGCGCAGGATTTTGTTATGCCAGTCTCCATCCCATGAGCCCTGAACTGAAGTTTTTCTTAGTTAACGGAGTTGGATACTATGTCTATTTATCCCGAGTTGGACTGCTGAGATGATATTGCCAATGGAATTCCTCCTCCTCATGTGTCTGGTTCTCCAGTACACTGTACACTTGAACAAAGCTGGCGTGTAGTACTTTAAGACAGCGATGCTCATGATTTCATTACTGCATTGAATGATAAAACTGACATTCCACCAAAAGGACCCCATTGTGCTACGCTCTGCCATTTTCTTCAGTGGCTGTCCAACATCAGACATTCAGCTTTCTCCTCCTCATTCAGCTGTATCTCTACCTGGTAGGTAGTTATCTACTTCACATAAATACCTGATCCTGGGGATTGTAGTGGAGCCAGGGATATAACTGTATGGTGATCCTGTTTCATCCCATTATGTCAGCAGAACAAAAGCATGAGCTTTCATTATCACGCTGTCTAAACACACCCTTGAAGAGTGGACATTAGGTAAGGAGAGAGCAAGGGGTATTTATCTATAGCACCCCAAGAATCAGTGTGTTCCTGGGAAGTGGAGGAGAATTAGAAGATTTAAAAACAAAAGGTCCTCTGTTGAGGGAAAACACACTTTATTTAAGTAATTGTTAGTGATTGGCATCCTTCCATCTGTGAGGGATGATGGGAATGCAGTCTCAGAACTGATGCGATTAGATGAGATCATGTACTGCACTTCCTTTGAAAGCTGAACAAATTATGGAAGAGCAAAATCTGCCACCAGTGCCTACATGAAATTGTTCCTTCCTGGTATTACAGGATAATCTCTGCTGATGTCTTGTTTGCAGGGCTAGCAGCTACTTTGGAGCTTCTCAAACCACATGTTTTGGCGGTGGTGAATTTCCACTCACCGCGGGTATCCTGTTAGCATCAGTCGTCTGTTTCTGACTCGTCATGATTGATGTTAAGGATTTCATGTTTCTTGATAGCATCTTTGAGTCAGAGCTTCAGACATCTTGCTCGTCTCTTGGCATGGGCTATCTCCATATGCAGCATATCCTTGGGAATGCATCCATCATGTGCACATGCCCAAGCCAGCTGAACCCATTTTTACTTCATTGGCATGCTCAGTATATGTTTGCTGTATACTTCATTGGCATCTTGGTGATGCTGAGGGTACATTGTTGATATTGGGAATTAAGGTAGTAAATGTTTTTTCTTGCGAGTTGTAAGTTGACCAGGCTTTGCCACAATGCAGCAGTATGCTGATGATATGGACCTTGTAAATGAACATCTTGGCCCTGTGGGTCAGTTTGTTGTATTATTGTTTTTTCAGTTGGCCATACCTGGTGGCGGATTTTCCACTGTGAATGCTGAGCTCTTCATTAAGAGACAGGTTGTTTGTCACCATAAATCCAAGGCAGCAGAATATTACTGATTACTCCCAGTGATGTGTTGTTCAGTTGGATCACATGTGGACAGACAACGTCATTCCCAATACTAGCTTTCTTGGTACTCATGGTGAGAGGCAAAATGACATGGCCACAGGGTTGGTTCTGTTTGTATGACTGATGGAATATCATCAGTAGATAGAAATTCTCTGTTCCGGGCTTGCTATCCTTTTTCTTGGTTTTCAGTCCTGATCGATTGAGGAGATTAAGTGAAATATGATAAAGGATTCCATAGAGAATTGGTCAATTTATTAAAAACAGAAAGAACTGCAGATGCTGTAAATCAGGAACAAAAACAAAGTTGCTGGAAAAGCTCAGCATGTCTGGCAGCATCTGTGAAGGAAAAAACAGAGTTAACGTTTTGGGTCCGGTGACCCTTCCTCAGAGG